AGCCTTGGTGTATGTGGCCAGTGCCCTACCCACTGAGCTACAGGCGCCACCCAACCTGGCCTGGGCCAGCTAAAACAACAATGACAACTGCAGCAAAAAATAGCCAGACATTGTGGTGGGCACCTGTGGTCCCTAGGGAGGCTGAGGCAAGAGAATCCCTTAAGCCCAAGAGTTTGAGGTTGCTGTGAGTTGTGATGCCACAGCACTCTACCCAGGGTGACAGCTTGAGACTCTGTCTCAAAAAAAAAAAAAGTGATCCTTGTAACAATGCTCTGAATTATAAAATATCATCCCCATTTTCTCTTTGTCAAAACCATGGCTCTTGGGAGGTCAAGTGACTGGTACATGTCATATATGGTGACAGAGGCAGGGTTTGAATCTCGGTCTACCTATTAAAGTCCAGTCCTCATTCTACCCCAGGAATAACCCCAAGCCCTGAGAGAATCTCAGTGGCATGTCCATGGCCAAAGGCTGAACACTAGGGCCAGGAGTGAGGAGTGGCTGGATACTTTGAGGACCAAGTCAGAACCAGGTTAGAGTGAAACCTGTTGGTATTAGTGGTTTCAGTGACATAGAGATAGAGGAACATTTTCCAGCCACGGCTGCTGTAAAACATTCCATGAAAACAGATCACTAAAGCATCCATCACCGGAGGAGGTTTAACATGGAATGTACAATTTTTTATTATAAGGCAGAATTCTATAAATTCCTGTGCTGCCCTCCTCCAATCCAGGATCCTTGTTGAATGCTGGTCCTAATTTAGAGAGGGTGCTGAGGCCAGAAGTTTCTGTTCTCACTAGGCCCTAGGTTCTCCTCCAAAGGGAGATGTCCAGCCAGCGGGGGCGGGCCTCCAGTTGGGCTTGATTTGTTTAATGAGGTTATAACAAGGCCCAGAGATCATCGCGGAGGCCTGAGGGAGGTGAGACACTGTTGTCCCCAGATCTATATTGAACCTTGCCTCCTCTGGGTTCTAGTTGAGTTGCAGATATCAAGTTCCCAGATCTAGGGAGTGAGGATGAGCCCCTCAGGATGGAACTATGGCTGCTGGACTATTTTTTTTTTTTTTTTTTTTTTGCAAAACAAAAAGATGCTCAGTACATCTTGGAATTTGAGGATCAGTAGCTGCCAGGCTGGAATAGCTTCCCATGGCCTCCAAGCACACATTCCAAGCACTGACCTAGGGGCACATACACCTGGTTTCAGGCCCCTGAGACCTGGGAGAACCTTCCCAGAATTGTTCATCATACTTTCTCTTATTTCTCAATCTGTATACCTGGGAAATCCTATGATTGATCTGACCTTGAGGGAGCTAGTGCTAAACAGAGCTGTGTAGTATGAAGGAAGAGGTATGGCTTTTACTGGTTTATCATCACTTACAAATGATAGCAACTTGGGCAACTGACTCCAAATCTCTCAATTCTGTCTGACTTGGAAAGTGAAGGAAATACTATCTCTCATAGGCTGAGGGCTAGACCATCTCTAATTTTGAATTTCTAAACAAGTCATGGGTCATCCTCATTATAGGAGTAGGAGCAGTGGGTACAGGACAAAGCATGTCCTGTCTGCCTCTGGCTGAGGTTTCTTGGCAAAGTCTGGAATGGTGATGACTATATCAGGAGAAACATCCTGGGAGCCCTCTTCCTTTGAGGCCACACTTCCTCAAAGGGTAGCAAGGTTTGTGCGCAGGGGCCCATGTGGCGTTTGCGTAATTTTATCTACTCAGTAGGAGAGAGGGCTTAACAGCAACCAGCCCCTTAACCCTACCCAAATCACCTGGATTTGCCTAGTTCTTTAAAAGTAAAAGAGCATGGTATACATCTCTCTCTCTGACTTCTCACCTTTGAGGTAGCCCATTGTGCAGATGAAGAAAGCAAGGCTCACAAAGGCTGCTTGCTTCAGCTGACCCAGCTTGCAGAGGCGGAGCAGGGCTGGAAGCCAGACAGCTAAGGGCACAACACAGGCTATTGTTGCTGTACATGCGTTTGCTGGGCATCTCTGTGCTGTGCTGGGCTGCGGGGTGCAGTGTTTATGTGGAGAGAGAGTCATATAGGCTTGGGCTACATGGCATGTGTGCTGTGTGTGCACACGATCGGCAGTGCAGTTCAGGGTGCCTGTGTGACCACGTGTGTGTGGGCCTGCACCTGGCCCCTCCTCCCCAGGTGGGATGGCTGGGGGCCGCTCTCTCCCCTAAGAGTCTGCAGAGGAGCCAAACCGCAGCTCCAGCCAAACCACAGCTTGGGCCACAGCGGTTTGATCTTCCCTCTGCTGCTGGAGATGAGAGAAGTCTAAGTGGCAGAGATTTACGGGGCCTGAGGGAGAAATACCCTTCCAGTGAGAAGCTCACATGAAAAGCTCCGGAGTAATAACTGAGGCTGCAAAGCGTGCCAATTATGCAACAATTAAAAGGTTTGACTGTGAATATCATTTCTTTCTCCTTTTATTCTCCCAGCTACTCCTCCCCGCCCCCAATCTGGCTGCCCCTACAGGCTCCCCAGCAAATGCTCTGGGGAATAGAGAGTAAAGAACACACTTTCCCCCCTTTTAATTGGAGATCAAAAGTTGGAAGAAGAGCTTACCCATCAAGGATGAGGAGGAAAGGGGTGTTGCTGAGATGGAGGCCCTCAGAGGAGGAGATAGGGAGGGATGGGAAGGGGAAGGGAAGGGGTAGGAGTACGGACCAGCTCCTCTACAGCTTGCCCCTGCTCTGTGGGAACTTCACACACATCATCTCATTTAATACACATTCCACCCCTGCTGGAGCAGCGTTTTTAGCAGCATTTTGTTGCAGATTAGAAAACTGAGACTCACAGAGGCAAATGACTTGACCAAGGTCACACAGCTGGTAGACCTGGCATGCATCCCAGGCTGACACCAAAGTCTTCACCACCAGGCTATTCTGCCTCCACACTATTTAGGGAAGGAACTTTTTCTTATCTCTTAGTCTTGGCTTTCCCATCTGTAAAGTGGGTGCAGGCCCTGGGTCTTGTATGATGGAGCCAAGCACTCCTGTAGATGAAAGGTACAGTGGGTGCTTAGCGGCAGGATCGCTCTGTAATCCAGCCAGCATCAGCTGAGCCAAATGCCCTGCACAGCAATCCAGAGGCTAATTGAGAAAGAATTAGGCAGTGTGCCCCAAAAATGAAGAAACAGCTGCTAGATGGCTTTTTAGCGGTGCCAACCCGCACCCAGTGCATATGCCCCCTCGCCACCTGATTTCCCAGCACGGCTAACAGCGCCCACACGCCAGGGCCAGGGCCCAAGGCATTGGATTTCCTCCTGCCCTACTGGAGGCTCAGCAACTCCACACGCTGCACTGAAAGCTCTCATAGCTCCTGAGGTGGGTGACTGTGGGGCAGTGACCATCTCTTACATCGCAGATCCTCCAACATCTAGCAATAGCAGGCTCACACAATTCACAACCCAGATGAAGGAGGATGGCAGGGCACCACCCCAGGGACGTTCCTGCATGTTTTCTCATTAACACTGAAGATCTGCTCTGGCTCTAACTGAGGAAGTAACTCTGGGTGAGCCATGCTGCCTCCCTGGACATCAGTTTCCTCATATGTTGACTGAGTGGGCTAGACTATCTGGCATTACTGTCCAACTGTCTATTAAGCTAAAGGGGAGCACATAGCACAATCACACAAAGTGGCAGGGAGAGGTCCCAACTTTCCCACCTCCAGGCCGGGCACTCCTGCACACCCAGACCTACTCAGCTAGAGGGAGCATGGCAGGAGAGCCAGGCCTGACTCCGCCCTGTCTCCTGCTATGCTCCTGGGTATGGTGCCTACAGAAAAGAGGAGTGGGGCTTTGGCCTTAGCCTCCCCATTCCCTGTCCCTGCACAACCACAAATGCTGACAGCTGAGGGCTCCAAATTTGAGGGATAGACAGTCCTTGCCAGATGGTTTTCCCAACATGTTGCTTCCGAGGTCATAACTGGTCTCCCAACATTTTCTCCTCTTCTGCTTTGGATTCTTGAAAAATCTCTCCCCTCAGTAGCAATACTCTGGGGTATTTGTGTATGGGGGGGTGATATGGGGGACTTGTTTATGAGTGGAAAAGGAGGTGTAGCAGAAAGTGGCACAAGAGGAGCTGTGACCATCCCTCTGATACCATGAACCTTTCCTCAACCTCAGTGGCCCACACTTGATGACCTGTCTCCTTGTCTGTCTCCCCAGCACCCCGTCCTAAGCCTGCACCAGGTGGCTGTGACAGCCCATTCCCTCATGGGCACTGAGGGACCCCAGCTGGCATGGCCAGCCACACTTAGAGCCCAGCCAGTTGTTTGCTCAAGTGGGGCCCACTCAGCCCACTCTGCGGGGCCTGGCGGCACTCCAGAGGAAATGATGGGAGGGTTTGGGTGCATTCTGACCTTAACTGAATTCCAGGATGATGATGTGTGAATAATATGGCTTTTCAAGAGTCAACAGCTTGGGTGCTTTTTATAGTCAGGCTGGAGCATTGAGTGGGCCATCTCCCCATTAATCATGTAGCTAGTTAGATCAATTGGCAAACAGTCCCAGCATTACTCTGTGGTATTACTCTCCCTTCTGTCAACAGCCACCCTTAAACAGATGTCAAAACTGCCATAGAGTCGGCCCCAACCCCACCTCCAAGCCTGCTATTCCAGTCTTAATTTTCTATTTCCTTGAGCTTGCAGTTTCAACTTCTGCAGTTTCCACTTCTGCAGTTTCCTAGCAGTTATCATTTCTGTCCAAAATTTTCATTATTTTGGTGGTCTCTATCAGCAGGGATCCTAGGTTCCCATTTCCCCGGCCATTCTGAACTCCCGGAAGACATATTCTGCCCACTTGGAGGAGGAAAGATTTTATTCTGAGTGACATACCGGGGAAAGTGCCAGGGAGGGGCATGTGGGTGAACAAGCCTGGGGCCAGAGCCCAGGCATCCAAGTCTTTCCCTCTGTCCACTCTCCACTGCCCCAGGATGCCCGGTTTCCCTCACCAGGCAGGCAGAGTTTGGCCATGACTCCAACACTTACAGTGTCTCCAGATTGTGCAGCCCCTCAAAGCTGTGGGTTCCCAGATGCTGGATATGGTTGTTATGCAGATGCCTGTGTGGGAAGGAAAGACACATCAGAATGGATGTCCACAGCATGGAGCCCAGGTGATGGGAGAGTACACAGGGACATGAGTGGAAAGTGGAAGCAGGAACATAGACAGAAAGACCTCAGTGGTCCAGCCCTTTGTCTCCAGGAACAAACTGACCAGCCAAAACTGATTTCTTAAGCCATAATCTCCAAGATTAGATTAACCACAGGCTATCCCGTTTTGACTTCCTATTGAAGGAAAAATGGAGAGGAGGGCCCTAGGCCAAGGCTAAAACAAGCTCCCACTAAACTCTAGGAGACAGGCCTGATGTCAGAGGGACTCAAATCGGAAGCTTCTTCTATGGCCCTGCTTCCCCAGGACCCAGCCTGCCTGACTCAGTGGCCAGAGGTACTTATGGAAGCCAATATCAAACCACTGCAGACAACATATAATTAAAGGCGAGGCTTTTTGTTATAGCTGGAGAGAACAGCAGACAAGCTCAGAAAACAGGGAGATTGCTGAGGCTAGAGGAATCAAGGAAGGCTTTATAGAGGTGGTAATCCAGAGCCTTGAAGGACAGGTGAACTGCACAAGCAGAGGGAAAGCTATTCTAGTCTAAGGAGGTTCCAAAAGTGGTATAGCTAGAACAACTGGGCAGAGCTATCCAAGCATAAGCCAGAAAAAAAGAAAGCTCATGGCAATTATGAACATATACAACAGGGAAACAGAGAAAAGGAAGGATGCAAAAGACAAAGTTCCACGCTTAGAAGAAAATATAGCTGATGAATGAGGAATAGAAAGAAATATATCCACAGTAGCCTTCTGCTACAAAACAATCCAATGAAACAATATTTCAAAGACAAAATTTTTTTAAATGAAAAAATTTTTAAATGAAAAGTCACATTGTATGTTGGGAAATAAATTGAGGACCAACAGTACATTATTGGAAAAACTCATCAATACATTTGAAACAGAGAATAGTATAGACCCTGCTAAAAATTGAACTGATTGTTAGAAAAGCTTGAGATAATCATGGTGAATAGGGTTGAATGAGATAAAAAGGTTAAAACCGAAACTGACCAATGATGAAGACATAAAGGCGATTCAATACAAGATGTCTCTGAAGCATAGAATCCAAAAAATAAGACCGCAGTTGTATTCAAAAACATAAAAAATTCTCTAAGGTGAAGAAAGAATGGAATCTGCAGCTAAAAAGCACACATTGTTCCAGGATGATTGGATGCAGAATATTCTACACTGTGACCTATTCTAGTTATGCTATGAAAGTTCAAGAATTTAAAAACAGCTCAAAGCAGAAAAAGGAAATCACGGACAAGGCAGGGGGGAAATCAGGCTGGCTTCCAAGATGTTACTCAAATATAAAGGCAACAGGCAAACCTCAACCAACATAGATGCGTAAAGACAGGAGTCTTGGGAGTGTTGGGATTAAATCTCCCGTCTGTCTTTCTCATCCTTGCTCACCTGCTCCAGGAGGTTCCAATAAAGGAGACAGATTCCTGCCCTCAGGGAGCCTCTGATCCAACAAGGAAAACGCAGCTCCTGCCTTCTGGAAATGAATTATCTCCCCTTACAAAGGGGTTTTCAATTTTCCTGTTTTTTTTCACGCCTGTATCCTGATGGTCACCAAACTCTATCATTCTTCCTGCTTCCTGTTGGACTCCTATCTCCATTTCCCATCCCTCTCCTCTTCCCCCAGCATCTCTGGTCCAGACCATCTCAGCTAAACATTCAGCTTCCAGCCTCCAATTCCCTCCTCTGAACCACTAATTCAACCCTTGCATCCTGGCACCTCTGGTAGCCCAGACTGGGCCAAGTATTGGAGCTTACAGTCCAGATGAAGAGACAAGATTATACACATGATACCACTGCTGTCTGATTAAGTTCTACCTAGTGATCTTGTTGGTGCCAGAGCAGTGGAGAGAAAGGGTTCCATATATGCCAGAGCAGCCTGATAAAAGTGTAGGGTCTAGGTTGAAGAGGAGCCCCTTCCATCTGTGTATCTACTCACACCTTCAGCTAGGCCCCTGCCTACCCCTTGGTTTGAACCAAACTTCTTTCTTGCTTTTTATCACACGCAATCTTCCTTATCTGCCTCTGGGTTTTCCTACAGTTCAGCCCATGGCTACTGGACAGTGTTCTCCAACCTCCTGTCCTGTTCTCAGGTCACTTCCTGCTAGAAAGCTCTCTCTTCCATCCCATGAGTTGGAGGCAGGTGAAGGACAAAGGTGTAATGTTTCTGGCCTCTGTCCACTGTGCAAAGGGACCAGTCCTAGTCTTTTGGCTTTGTTCCTGCACAGTAGGTTTTCCTTCCTTAGTTCCTTGCCACTTCTTATACCCAGGAGGCCTCCCTCCATCCCTCCTACATCTGTAACAGGCCTGACTTTGAGGCCAATCCCCTGGCTGCCAACCAAACCTTGGAGTCATCCATGACTCCCCCTCTTCTTGGACTTTCACTGTCTTTCTATTTTAATTTTTTTATATTTAATTATTTTTTGTTAAATCTTAACTTTGTACATTGATGCATTTATGGGGTTCAGGGTACTGCTTTGATATACAATGTGAAATGTTTACATTGAACCAAGTAACACATGCATCACAATTAGACTCATTTCTTAATAGTTTTGAAATGCACCATTGCATCATGCACTTCAGGTGAGGATCTCCCCAATACCCTCCCTTCTCCCATATCCCCTCTCCCCACTCCTCTCTCTCCTCATCCCTTCTACTTTATGTTTGCCTGGATGGAGCTGGAACATATTCTTCTTAGTAAAGTATCCCAAGAATAGAAAAAAAAAATCCAATGTACTCGATATTACTATGAAATCAATATATAACCACCTACACAATCATACGAATGGCAAAACATAACTTTCACCATCTTTAAATCAGATCTATTCTTCCTTCAAAACATTCCTCACATTCATGATCCCTTTCCATCCCTTCTACCACCTCCATTAACTGGACTCTGATTGATATACAAGAGCCTCCAAACTGACCTCCCTGCCGTGAGTCTCCCATCTCTTTCATCCATCACCATTGTTCCCCATCCAGCCTTTGAGCTCTCTTCCCGACTGGCAGATATAAGCCAAACTCCTTGCTTGGACAGTGCAAATCCTCCACTCAATTTTCCAGTCTCTTCTCCCATGTTCTGCTCTGGCAGGACTGGCCTATTCCCTGGTAACCAAACACCCCCGGCTTTCCCTCCTCCCAAGCCTTTGTTGCTACCTGCTGTAATAATTGCTACCTTCTCTTCCCTTGTCCAACTCTTCACCATCCTTCCAAGCCCAGACCCACTCACCTTCCCTGTGAAGCATTCCTCTTCCCTACCACTTCTATGCTACTATGAACCTCTACTTGGCATCTGGTTGTGTTAGCTTAAGTTACCCTATATCATTAGTTTTTGGTTTTTTTTTGAGATGGAGCCTCAAGCTATCCCCCCTGGGTAGAGTGCCATGGCATCACGCTCACAGCAACCTCCAACTCCT